TTTAATCGATCCCATTTTTTTCCTTGAATATTCTCATTACTTAATTTTCAAATTTCAAACCAGCCTCCTTCCTTACCGCCCCATAAATAGCCGCAATGTCCCCCTTCTCCCCCTTATGGGCTTTCACTTGCTTCAGATGCTCATCAGCAACCTCAACACCGTGCATCCTCGTGCCCGCACTCTTCGCAAGCGCCATGGCATGTCTGGCATCCTTCCTCGCCAAATCAACCGCGAACAACGGCTCCTCTCTCTTTTGGTAATCCCCACTCAGCATTCTCGTCGAGTATGCCGCATAAGGGCCCGGAAACATCGTCTCAATGAACTGATGCAGATTTTCATTCCCGAGGCCGGATTTCTCAGCTAGCACGTGCCCTTCAGAGAGCGTTTCAACCATGTTGAGCACAAAGGTGTTGCCGATTACCTTTAGTAGAGTGGCTTTCCCTACCGGTTGGTCGGAGAAATCAACGTTCGCGCGGCCCATTACGCCTTTACAGTACGGCTTTACCTTCTCGACGCTTTCTTTGGGGCCAGCGAGGACGCAGACGAGTTGTCCACTCTCAGCCATAGCAGGGGCGCCGAAGACAGGACAGGCGACGAAGGAAGCGCCTGCGGCTGTGATCTTCTTGGCGAGTCCTTCGGTGGTGTCGGGGTGAACTGTTGAGCAGTCCACAAAAAGCTTGCCCTTGGCGTCACCCTCCAATGCGAAGTCAATGGTGGCGTTGATGGCGTCGTCGTCGCCCACGCAGGTGAATATTATGTCGGAGTGGGAGACCACTTCTCCAACCGACGAGGCGACGGTGGATTTTCCGGAAGGTAGGGACTTGCTGAGGTCTGTGGCTCTCTTTTCGGTCCGGTTGTATATGATAAGAGGCTTGTCAAGTTGACCCTTGTCGACGAGGTTTTTGCACATGCCCTAGCGAAGGTAGCGTAAGTAAACAGAGCTGGAGATGGAGGAGGGGGAATTGCCCTGCCCATGTTTCCGAGGCCGATCCATGCTAACTGAGGCGCCATTTTGAATTGCGTGAGCCTCTGTAAGTTGAGTTTCTGCAAGGGGGGATGGTAATTGAGTACTGTATAGAGAAAAGACCTGAGGGGGTAGAGGGGTTGAATAGACGCTCAGTTAGTCCTCGAGATGACGCGCATCGGATCAGACCTTACCCGGGATATCAGGGCGAAGCGGCTACCTCCTGTACCGTA